GCTAATTATTCAAATCCTTTTGCTTCTTTTCTTCTTTTTTCTCAAATCTAACTTATTTAGCAGTACGACGACGTTTTCCCACGGCGGTGAGATTTCCCATCATCGTTCAATGTTTTGCTCTGTCTCGCTGCATGTCGCAATGCGTCAGTCAACCATCTTGCCAACCAAATTGACGCCGCCGCAATCTTGTATTTGCAGATTGCGAAATCCGTGCTGCAGAACAAGACTGTCATCGCCGCTGTCATACGGGACGTGTCCGCTTTAGATTTCGGGAAGATCGTCGGACAGGCTTGCTACGCCGCCAACAAGGTGGATTTACCGGAGACTTCCAGCGTCGTAAAACGTACGCATTCGCGTCACAATGCAATCGATTGCCTATGACGTAATCATTTTTTCGGCGAAATTGCGATGAAGGTGTTATTTACCTCGTAATGGGTCTAATGGTAATTGTATCACGTAGAGGAGTAGATGACAACATATATATAGATGATGAGTGTAAAGTAAACATAACGAGTGTAATAACGGGAAGTAAACATAACTCCAGTTGGAGAATATACTTAAAATACCCCTAATATATCGTATATATATATATATATATATTGTTGATAAGCATTATATCCTTACACTATAATTTTATTTTATGTCAGATTAATGTAATTATCTTGTAAAGTACGAAAATCGGTGTCGAAGGTGGTCTAGGTAGACCTGTCAATCTGGATTGGTAGAGTCTGAGTCTCACGTGAAGTGTGTACACCGGTTTTCGAAACTGTTACTAACAGGTTAATTACATGTATTTATCGTAAGGTAAAACTACTTTTGTATCGTCATAAAACCCGATTCATTAATTCTCAACAGTCACTCTCACCATTTTTCACTTTATACAAATAGTTATTCACTGCTTCGTTGCTCTACTGGAAAAGCAAGCACCTGTAGAATCGTTCGCAGAATGGATTGACAGCATTATCGATGCGTACGTCTGCGTACATAATGTTGCAGACAAGAGAGCCAGTATTGAGGTCAGTGTGCTACTAGAATAATGCGCCACATCGAATCAATCGCATACGATAACAGAAAATACGTGTATATTATATTATATTATATTATATTATATTATGCTATATTATATTATATATACGCGTGCGCGCGCGTGTGTGCGTGATATATATATATATATATATATATATATATATATATATATATATATGCATTTACGCTGTCATGCTTTTTCGCGGCTTCTTTATTTCTATATGCGGGGTTCTCGTATATTAGGAAGAGGAGACCGCTGAGAATGCCTCGGCGCTTAACATGGACAACTTCGTATTGATCTGGTCTTCGGCTGCGTCTATGGTGATGAGAGATCTGACGCTAGGTGGAGCCACGTCATTCGGATCGGCGCACGTTCTGAATCTCATGCTGAACGAGTACATTCTGCTCGTCGCCGAAACGCAGAAGTTACGACAATTTGAAGAGACACTAACGAGTGACATGGAGAGATGCATGAAATGTCCAGGTATAATCACAGTAACTTTTGAATGAAATCAGCAGGATAATCTCGTAACTTCGTAAAATATTAATCTTCAAAGGCCAAGGGGGACTATACCGAAGACGGAAATAGACAAAGTTTATCAAATATCAACGATTAGGATATCACTAATTGAGTTATCTGTATATTAATTGCACTTAGACCATGTTATGTTATTTATATTTAAGAGTTCGCGCGTTCTTAACCTTATCAAGAGCTAATATTCAGCGATTGATCTCATAATTATTACAATGTTAATATCGTTGTGATTATACCAATTATCTCCTGATTAAATCTCTAATGATGTCACTTTAATCTTTCAAATTTGCAAAATCATGCGCATCCGTCTAGAGGGCAGCATTGGAACCACTTCTCGCAATATTAGTTTAAAATCACTGCAGCTCTCCAAAATATTCGATTATGCTGGGCATTTCAGATTTGGTGCAATCAACAAAGCGATATCCGTGTACGGCACAGCGCGATGACGTCATGAGCACAAGAGACCACCACCAGATCAATCGCATCTATTCTGAAACAATGTGCGAACATTCTCCGAGCGCGCCCTCTGCCTACGAATTTAAGACCACCGCGACAACGAGACATGCTGCGCCGCATAGGAGCCTTAACTTCGAGAGCCAAACTCCTATCTCACAACCGAGCCTCCTGGCGCCATCTATCGACACATTCGAGAATGATGTCGGCATTTCTCGGCAGCCGTGTCTAGAGGGCGCGTCGTCCGCCTGTCAATATCACGTCACCGCCGCAGCCGACACTTTGTTTCTCGGAGCGTCGGACGACAGCAACAATAGCAGCTCGCAGATGTACAATCTGTGCGACGACTTCCCGTTTGCCGACGCCTCGACGAAGACGCATCGCGGCGTTGGCGTCGTGCAGTCGGCCGGTGGCGACATCTGTGGGACGTATTCCGTCACGTCCGTACCTTCGCAGCAATGTTCGGTGATACGACGGAATGTCAATGCCAATTACTTCTAGACTCTTCAAACGATATTAGAATGAAAGTTCGATGATGGACGTACGATCACGGGTAGTACAGGCTAATAGGAATTGGAAGATTATAAATTAACTTGTAATTATAATTTCAACACATAATGAATATGATATTATATAAATCTTACATTATTAAGGATACTGTTAAGGTTGGGAGGTGATTTTCGGTCAATTAAATCATGGGAAATGTAGAAAAGTGCTAATATCTCCATTGATAGAAATGCTGAAGTTGCTGATTTTTCAAACGCTATTTCTCGAAACTCACAACTCCGATTCCAAAATTTTTTGTTACGCTTCAATGTTAACATATCAAAGGAAAAAAGGCCCCCAAGAATTTTTTTTAAATATTATATTTTATAAGTTATGGTTCTTTATTTACGAAATTGTTACGTTTTGAAAATCACTACAAATTTTCATAAATATTTTTAACTTATTTCCTAAATTAAAGCATTTGAAAAAAATTCCAGAGACTTTTTTTTAGTTCCTATTATGAACAACTTATGTTTAAAAGTTTAGGTCCCAACTATTTACTATTTATGAGAAATAACAAAAAAGCATCTTTTTGTATGAATTCAAAATTTTTGCCGTCACTTAATTAGTGATGAATTAAAAAAATATATATTGAGAGCGTAGAGAGACATCTCTCTGTAATTAAAATTGTTCAAGTAATTTCAGGAAGTAGCTTACCCGTCCCATGGTGTTATAAAGTCTGAAAAATTGAATTGATCAATTTAATTTAATCTAATTAGGATCGAAAAATTGTTTAGAAAAAAAGATGAAAAGCAAAATCATTGGCTCCAAAAGAGACAGACATCAACATTCCTTTGTGATCTCCTGAGCTCGTTGGTGACGAACAGTGTGTCTGTACGCGGTGTAGAGCATTCCCGGCGTTGGTAACGTGGACGAGTGGTAACCAAAGCAGGCCAACATTGAAATTTATTTTTTTAAATTATAACCAAATGTGGTAGCGAGTGTTTGCCTAAAGATCTCCGTTAGATGGCGCTGGCGTCGTACAACCGGTGGCCGTTGACTTTAATGTCTGCTATCTTTCACGTTCTCTGAAGTAACGAAAAAATATAAAGCGTAAAGTCTTAACATACTTGTATATATTTATCGAAATAATGGCATTCGAAAATAATCAAATAAGCACCTATGAATAGGCTACTGCTGCCGTTTTTAGCTGATAACTTCTATGGAAGGTTTATAGAAATCCTAGCTGCTGGACAACAACGTTGTGTGGTGATCAATATTGGCCTTACATTATTATGATAGGGTTTATATAGTTAGTTATTAAATGTTGCTCAGCATTTCGTTGTATCTAAAAGCATTTAAAATATAGTAACATACATAATGATCAGTGTCTGTGTCAGTGTCAGAGCTAGTAGTGTTGCATCCTACCTAACAAATTTCCCATTGAACGAAAGACGAATAAATATTCTTTGACAAATTAAAATGATAAAATAGCATAACATTCTTAAGTGGCTGTGTGTAGTTACACTGCGTTACGTGTTGTCTAACACGGTGTACATAGCAGCAGTAATCTTGCATTGCTTGTAATACGACGAGGGTTACGTAGACTTGATTAGTCTGAATTAGAGAGATATATACGTAGAAGATATCTGAGATATATCGAGGAAGATATTTAATTGACACACAAAAAGAAACTACACACCTATTTTACAAGTAGCAATTTTAACAATACTACTATACCAACGGCAACAACGACGGGAGATGACAGATGTATGTAAGAGAAGAGCCCAACGTATAGCATCTACGGCTCGTCCGAGTGAGAATGTACGAGTCTACGCGCCAGCTAGCTGCAGGGAACGAACGGGGGTAGGGGGCAAGACACGGCGAGTTGAGGGGGTGCGGGCAGCGACCGAGAGAGCGACGCGTATGCACACGGTGGCCTTACAAAGCGTACACATAGGTACAAATCGCATGATGTAACAACACTGTTTTCATCTAGGTCACAATGGCGCGTGTACGCACGCACGCACGCACGCACGCACGCACGGACGGAAGTATATATACATCAAAACATTACAACACTCAATTAGATAAGGGGGTTGGTAACATGATGACTGTTGACTGCATAACGTTCACAAAACGTCATGACACGCGTAGCAACTATCGTCGTAGTGCCTTCTTGACATCAAAACTTGTGCGGATTGCAACAGCAGAGAAAAGAACGAATATAAAAGATGCGTATACTCACATTACTTTGCTCTATCCTGTCTTATTTACAGGCAACAGTAAGATCGATAATGCACACTGTATGTGCATGCGTGCGCGCGTGCGTATAATCGTTTGTGTGTCTATGTGTGTGCGTGCGTGTATCCGTGCGTGCGTGTATGCGTGCGTGCGGGCGGGCGTGTGGGCGTGCTGGCGTGTTCATGCATGTGTGTTGTTGCGTGTAGGTGTGTATGTTTTTGTACGTATGTACGTACGTTGTGAGTGTGGGCGTGCGTGCGCGTGTCCGTCCATGCAGGCGTGCGTGCGGGGATGCGTACTCGCGTCTGTGAATGCGTGCGTGTATGCGGGCATGCGTGCGCGCGATCTATATGTGCGGTCGTACCTACGGCGCGCATGCGTCTGTGAATGCGTGCATGCATGCGGGCATGCGTGCGGGCATGCGTGCGGGAAGGCATAGGTGCGGACCAAGGCAAGCGTGTGCGGGCGTGCGTGCGGGCGTGCGTGCGGGCGTGCGTGCGATGATGCGTGCGTGCGTGCGTGCGAGCATACGTGAATACGTTTGATGTCAAATAGCGCTACTTTGCACGAAATGACAGCTGCGTGTATGAATGGTTTCCTGAAATCTAGCGGTTTGTACGTACATTCACATAAATCAATCCGAAAAGTTTTTTTTAACTACTTACAACGGATAAATATGAATTATCCAACATTCGAAAAAAACATGTTGAGACCTTATCTGAACGTCTTAAACCCAACCTACACAGACTGTTATTGGTGCTGTTTATTGTTGTTGTTGTTGTTGTTGTTATCGTTGTTTTGATTGTTGTTGTTTTTGTTGTTCTGTTTATAACTGCGTCTTTACATTAAAGGCTCACGTAGCTGTAACCTATACGTCACTGGAAACTATTTTTTACACTCAGATACATATATATATATATATATATATATATATATGTAAGCAGGTATGGGATAGCTAAGTAAGAAAGCACTTCTGCAAGGGAAATCTTTTTCAAACCATACATACATATTTATCTAATAACTATTGTTAAAACTACGATAACAGGTAAATGTTACAACATAACACTTTTTGGTGACACGTACCACACTATCTGCTGACACGTAACACTCTCTAGTGACACGTAACACACTCTAGTGACACGTAGCGCTCTGTGGTGATACGTTAACGCTCTATAGTGACACGTATTATTCTCCGGTGACACGCAACGCTCTGCGGTGCCATACAATACTTTCTGGTGACACGCAAAGTTCTGCGGTGCCACACAATACTCTCCAGTAACACGCAACGCTCCACGGAGCCACACAATACTCTCCAGTGATACGCAACGCTCCACGGAGCCACACAATACTCTCTGGTGACACGCAACGCTCCACAATGCCACACAATGCACTCCAGTGACACGCAACGCTCCACGGTGCCACACAATACTCTATGGTGACACGCAACGCTCCACGGTGCCACACAATGCTCTCCAGTGACACGCAACGCTCCACGGTGCCACACAATGCTCTCCAGTGACACGCAACGCTCCACGGTGCCACACAATACGCTCCGGTGACGCGCTACGCGTAAACGCGTGGCTTGAACGGAAATCGTCATCTTAATATCACCTGATCGATCACCCGCGTTCTGATCGAACGGTGGATTGATCGGATGTGTAGTACTCGTGACGTACTGATATTAGCGGCGTTCGGCGCCTACTGCTGTCGTTGCTGGTGCACACGACAAGCTAAGCAGTGGCATGGCGCCCCACTTCTCACCCACAACAAGGTGTCAAGAGTAAGACCATAGAATTTTAGATAACATTTCCAAACTTGGAACTCCACTTCGGATAACATCACGCGTCATTGCGGCAGTTTGCGCCAAACGTTTCGAATTCGGTATGGCATTCGGTCAAGTTTTTATTACGCTGGCGAACTGCCTAGCGCAACTGCACTTGAGTAATGCCCATCGGTAATGGCCTGTTTCACACGATTTCATCAAAATAACACGTAATGCCACGCGTTTGCAAACCTGGTGTCACTGGGCCCTCTCTGCTTCCGAGACAGTAAAACCCATCTTCCTGCTAATAATGCTTGACGTCGTGACAGACCCTTGCGTTCTGCACGCTTTGGGGGGCCACCAAGCGGTAACTACCGCCTCCACAAATCCCCGTCTAGTTTCAGAAAACAAGGCGCGCGTCAAACCTCGGAGGTGATTAGCAACAAAGCAACGATGTGGATGAACGAAAGGTCGCGGAGTGGCGAGCGGCGGGCGCTACTCCGCTACGGTGTACACATTCTCTGCGCGGTCGGGGCTGCCGTATGATTCCGTGTCGGGTTGCAGTGGTTGCTTGCGCAGTCGTAGTGTCAGCACGTTCTCCCAGCCCGGCAACGCCAGCGCCACCATCGATCCGTCGGGCGACAACTGACAACTCACGATGTTGTCGTCCAACGTTAACGCTCCAAGGCATTTCCCTAAATAAATCCAAATAACCCCCGTACATGAATAACTAGGTGACGCAGCGGTAGTTCGGGGAATAGAACACGTTCGGGTAGTAGCGTGCACGGCTTTTGTCGACGCTATCTTACATGTCGGCTCTAAATGTGCGTCTACCTGCATCAGTAAATGCGTTGCGAATGTTCGTTCTATGAATCCTAAATGATTCATCATTCGCGCTACAAATATCGCATAATACGTATAGATGTTTGATGGAACATACAGAAAATAAAAATCGATATATTCTGATTTGCCTAATGCTTGGAATAAATGAGTAGTATTTCTGTCCGTATTGATTAATGCCGAAACCGGCGCATAGTTCTTCATGGTTCGCTTCAATTCACAGGTGCATTAGTTTAAACGAGCACGCACACACACACACACACACACACACACACACACACACACACACACCACACGCACACGCACACGCAAGACGAAACAGTACACACGCACGACACCACACACGGCACCACACACGACCCAACATCAGCATCCCCCGGACGCAACCGCACGACGCAAGGACGCAACACGCAGCTACGGCACAACGCACAGCGGCACACGACGCACAACGCAGCACGCAAACCGCACACGCACGACGCACACGCAGTCACACGCACACGCACGACGCGATTCGACGGGCACCGACGTACCCCGAGGCAGACACACACACACAGCGGCACACACTAGCAAACACACCACGACACACAGCACACACCAGTGTTCCCATTGAGCACGCACGGCACGCACATAAGCAACGGACACACGGCACAGCACACTGCAAGCAGCGGGTACGCGCGAGCACACGCGGTACGACCACGCAACGCACACCACACAGCAGACACGTGGGTCGGTCTGTACACGCACGCCACGCAGCACACGCACGCACTTGTCACGCACTGCATATAGGCAGCGGCACACGCCAACAACACTACGCAGCACGGGGTACGGCGCGAACACCAACCACTATAGCCCAGCACACAAAGCACACCGACACACACAACAGCTACACAGTGTTGCTGCTTTGGCACAGTCCTTTGCCAGCGTCCTTTCGATCTTGTGCTGTTACTATTTTCTTTGAGCGGGGCCTAGCAATGTCACACACACACACACAACACGACACACACCAACAGTCACATAAGCATGGTGCACACACACACACACACACACACTACACATCCACAGCACAGCCGCACACACCACACACACACACACACACACACGTATGTTCATCCATTACCTGTATTCAGATCCCAGAGCCGGACGCTTCTGTCGAAACCCGTCGAGTCGTAGGAAAGCAGTCGCGATCCATCCGTGGAGGCGATCAGGTTATCCACGGCGCTATAATGACCCTTCATCGTGAACCTGCAGAAAAAAACATCATCATCGTCGCGAACAATAGTCACATCGTAAATCATTCCTGGAACGCAAAAAAATATCTGCATAATCATCACGAACTAGTCGCATCGTAAATCATTAATTCCTGGAATGCAAAGAAATATCTGCATAATCATCACGAACTAGTCGCATTGAAAATCATTTATGGAATACAAAAAAATATCTATATGATCGTCACGAACTAGTGGCATTGTAAATCGATACTGGAATGCAAAAAAATATCTGCATGAACATTGCGAACTAGTGGCTTTGTAAATAATTCCTGGAAGTTTGCCACCCCGTGTGTGAAATCTTAAATAAATACCGACCGGAAGTGAATCGAATCACAAATAAAACGAGAGGTGAATGGAAACGTGTTTTTTGATCCTACTATCGATGCTACAATGCTGACCCTCTACCGGACAAGAGACGTACCACTGGGCTTATCCTCCATAGAAATATATAGACACCTAACTACAGAGTCTAACCTATAGTGTCTAACTAGTATATCATGTCTAGACATCCATTCTAACGAGGTTATTATGTAGTGAGTCGGCAGTATAAGCGCGTTAGTAGTTAGTGAAGGATTAACCGGAGGGAGTGCCAGAGTCGGTTACGTACTTGCAGGTGCCGGTGGTCAGATCCCACAGCAATATGTTTCCGTTGTCGAGAGCAGTGGTCACCCAGTCGGCCTCCGAGGAAATGGCGATCGCCGTTGTGTTGTATCCCGGCTTCCATTTTTTGAAAACGGTTCCGGTAGTCAGATCGTATATCACAACGTTATTGATCGCATCTTCTGATATGACCTCCTGCAAGGAAGATGTTGAATAATACGTCAGGTTTTCATTGACATTTTAGTAATTATACACACGCACGCACGCACGCACACACACACACACACACACACACACTCACATTTATATAGAGTATATACGAAAGGATAGTATAGTTTTGTGGACAGAGACCGAAAAATTCAAGCGGAAAATCGAATTTTGAGCATAGCTCATCCCTATTATAATGCGATAGTTGATGAGTGACAAAGCTTATTTAGATCTCGAAATTTGAATTTCAACTAAACTTTCTGGGATTTCGTAGAGTACAGTCATAATACTTTCACGTCCAACTTAATACTAGAACTTAACAGAAAAAAACATCAGTCACCGAAAACCGACAGATACATTCTAACTACTTACTCCTGTCTGCTTTTTGTCGTGCGTTTTGCATTGGTTCGTGCTGTTATATAATTCGGCTTACACGCGATGTCGCGTGAGGAGTGCGTGCACATCAATAACTAAGCAACAACATGTGTCGACGCTTTGCGCTGCTAGCACAGACGTATAGGTTGCACGCTGTGCGAGGCAGAGCAGACGAGAATGCGAGACGCAAATCACGACGACGACAGGTTTCACGGTGCATCTCGCAACTATTAATAAAACTATGCAATTTAAAAAGTTCTTTTCTTTTGTAGATAATGGCTGCCAAGATGAAAAAAAGACGCATTTCTGTACTTTGGCATTTTGCTACACGATCATCGATATGCTATAATCTAAGAGAATCAATACGTCTTCATCGTTTGCGTGGGGGATCTGAAGCACGAATTTCCCAAACACCCGTTTTGCTTGCTTTGCCGTAATGCTGACTTGGTGTGCACAGCACAGACGCAGGCACGGAGAAACAGGTGGGTACACAAGGGGTCCCTCAACTCTCAGTGTACAGTTACTACTTCGACCATTCGGGGTTCTTTGTAAATATGTCATATATCAATTTCGCACTAAATTTCCTTTTAGATTTGTTCTAGCTACCAAAGCAAGGCAAAAACCAAGAGGCTCAATTAAATTAAATCGGCGGCAAAACGAAATTCGCGGTGAAAAATGAGGGCGTTTCCGCTGCTCATTGTAATTACTATAGAGATCACGCAACACGCTGTGCCAGAAATTACACAGAGAATCACAAAGATGACAAAATTATCGTTGCTCATACTTTCAATCCACAGCCATTTCACGCCTCACATACTAGACTTATCAGCGCCTTCAGGCAATACACGTCCAGAGAGGCAGTGGCTGACACATAGAACTTTTTTTTACGCTAGAACATTAGTAACTTAACGTATGTTACTAATTTGTACCCTAGCGCCCTACCTCTATACCGAGCTTACGAATTTCTATGAATGTGTTCTACGTAAGTTGTCTGGGCTATAGTTTCACCATAACAGCTCATCATGCGTCATAACATCAGTGGTTGATGAATCTAGCTTATTAGACGCGCCCACAGAAACGTGGACCGTCATTGTGCGACGTAGATCCATCGCACTGCCACCACCATCTTAGTTACGTGCTACCGCCATGTTGCTCTGACGAGCTTACCAATCGATGCGGTAAGATAAAAGGGTGACAACGAACGGCGGCATAGAGGCAGACGCTGGCGCCAGAGAAACAGGTAGAGAACGCGCGCGGTTAGAGATCTAGAGGTAGGCGTCAACGTGCACGGGGCGCAGTGCTCCGAGGCTCCGAGGGGTAGGCGACAATAAGGGGCGGGGAAAGGTACTCCAGAGACGGAGAGTGCTCCAAAGGGGAGGCGACAATAGGGGGCGGGGGAAGGTACTCCAGAGACGGAGAGTGCTCCGAGGGGTAGGCGACAATAGGGGGCGGGGGAAGATACTCCAGAGACGGAGAGTGATCCGAGGAGGAGGCGACAATGGGGGGCGGGGAAGATACTCCAGAGACGGGGCGCAGTGCTACGAGGTTCGTACCTTGCATGCGCAGACGACAAAATGTCCGTCGCTGCTGACCGTCAGCATCTTCGTCTGAAACTCGTGGTTGTTGATGCGCAGGTCGTAGATCAGCTTGCGGTTGTTCAGGTCCCACACAAGCAGCGGCGTCGGTTTCTGCGTCTCGTCGCCGCAGACCAGGTAATGGCCGTTCGAACTGACCGTCAACGAGTTCAGGAATCTGTGGGGGAAATTCAGAGCGTGAGCATCAGAGAGCGATCTGAACTGAACGAGGGGTGCGGGAAATAAAGCAAGAGCGAGTGAGGTGAGCCGAGAATGAAACGAACAGCGAGTGGAATGAGAAATAATGGAATAGTGGGAAGAGCATAAAACGAACAGCGAGCGAAGTAAGGAAGCGAGTAGAAGTCGAAGAGTGACAAGAGAATAAAACGAAGATCTGGTGATGTGAGAAGAAACGGAAAAGTGAGAAGAGAACGAAATAAAGACCGAGCGAAGTGAGTAGAAGCGGAAGATGGACAAGATAATGTAACGAACAGGGAGTGAAGTGAGGAAGAGAATAAAACGAAGACCGAGCGAGACGAGAAGAAATAGAAGAGTGGGAAGCTAATCGGGCTAATTTGGAAAACAAACGTAGAAGTATATAGGTTGCCGCTGGCATCTGTAGCCGCATCCATAGCTTCTCCATAGGGCGGGCTACAAAATTTACGTACGAGATACAGCACGCTAAAACATACTCCGCCTCTTTTGTGCTCATAAGTGTAGGCGGCAAGGTGTTATTTTTCCGACCCGAAGTCATATCTCACGATGTACAAGCTTAGCAGATATCGCCACGGGCTTACCCGGCACTGCAAGTGCCTAGCGGCAACTTAATGTACAGACATTAACCGCTGGTTAAGATCAGCGGACGGATTTACGACGACTGGAGAAAAAAACGGGGTTGCGAACGGGACAGCTCAGAAATCAATTCGTCGCAAGGAAGACGAGGGGATAACTGAGTTTCGCAGGGGAAAATGCCTCGGGTGAAGGAGGTATAATCTTGCGCATAGCCAGCCGGGTTAAGGGGAGGGGGGGGGAGCGAGAGATAGCTGCCTATCCCCTAGACTTAGGAGAGAACTAAATGAAACTAAAAAAAATGTATATTACACTAAACCAAGTCTGTAAATCATAGTCCAGACACCCGTGAAACACGCGCCTCATACCCACACCCCGCACGTTGCCTGACAACTGCACCACCCCCTAGACTTTAGAGAGAACAAAAAAGCCAAAAAATGCAATGTATATTACACCAAGTGTGTAAATCATAGTCCAGACACTCGTGAAACACGCGCCTCATACCCACACCCCGCACGTTGCCTGACAACTGCCCCAGCCCCTCCCCCAGCGCCATAACCCAGCCGAGTCACAAAATCGTGCAACCGTCTCCCCCAACCTTCTCATGGGTATTATGTATATAATATACACACATATATATATATATATATACATATATATCAGGGGTTAATAATGACAAATTTGTCAAAATTGTCAAAATTTTGACAAATTTGAATTTGACAAATTTGAATTGAAAAATTGAAAAATTGAAATTAGAAAAATTAGAAAAATTAGTCCAAATTAGTCATTATTAACCCCTGATATATATATATATATATACTCGGGGTATATACACATACAGCCCCCCCCCAAGCGCGGACGGGGACGACGACCCCCCTGCGTCGGCACGCACCTGTCTTCGCCAGCCTTGAACGTCGACTGCGTGTCGCCCGTCGATATCTGTATGACGTGTATGTACATGCGATTGCGCGACATCGACACGACGTGGTTCTGGTCGTGCAGTTCGTAGAAGGGCATCTTCTGATTCATGATGCCCTTCAGCTTCACCTCCATCTCGCCCGTGTCCAGATTGTAGATCTTCAGCTCGCGATTGCACAGCACGACCGCCTTCAAGTCATCAATGAACTTGGTGTCGCGCGGTGCGCTCAGGCCGCGCAGTGTGCGGACGACGGCGCACGCGTGCATGTCCCACACGTGAATCTCACCGCGCTCGTACAGCAAGCACACCATGAATTTATTGGTCGCCTTGAGGCGATAGATGCTCGACACGACGACGCCGCGTTTGCCGTCGGCGGCAGCGGCGGCGGCAGTGTCGTCGGCAGCAGTGTCGGCGCGCGGCGACAACAGGCACTCGAGCGCCGACGGCTCGAAGTAGTCGCGATCTTCGGCGGTCACGGCCTCGTAGAGTTTGCGCATGCGCGGATACGCGGCGTCCGCACTGTCCGACATGAGCTTGTTCAGGCGGATGCCGAGCTGCACGAACAGCTGCGACGGGTCGTTCTCGAGCGCGTGAGAGGAAAGCCGCAGAACCTCAAGGAGAAGCTGCAGGTCTTGGTCCCCGTGAGCCTTGGCAATGGCCAACATCACATCCTGGATGACCTGGAAAACGATGATGAAACGCGCACATGACGACAGTTGGCGCGATCTTTTTTTCGCGCGTCGGGTTATTTTCCCCGAGTGCACGTCATGGAAATCTTTCTTTAATCGTATCTCGGTTTTCACATGACCGATAGCGATAATAGAAGGTTGTAATCATATCGTGTGTTTTGTATCACGGCTTTCATGGCGCACACCATACCGGGAGAAAGCTTTTAGTACGTATCTCGTATATAATCGTATCGGTTTCCGTATATAATAATAATTATGCTATAGTGCTAGAGCAATATGATATAGTGCTAGAAACATATCTCGGGTTTTCTACACAATTTTTTGATAGCAGCTGGTGTAATCTGTTTCCGTACAATTAATAGTGCTATAAAAAGCGTAATCATATGTCGTTTTTTTTGCACGTTATATTAATTCGAAAGTTTTAATCATATATCTCCGTTTCCGTAGACTTTAATGTGAAAGAATGGTTTTAGTAAATGTTGTCATTTGTGTCAAAGAGATGTCATTCCAGAGCCCTGCTCCAGTTTATACATGTGGTGCTACTATAATGTGCATAATTGGACCGTCCTCGCTAAACAAGCGATCCAAAAGTTATAAGCGAGATCATTGCTCTTTACGATGTGCCGGACCCAACCGCGATCACTCGTCCCACCCACGGGACCCACCCTCGATGACGCGCCCCACCCCCGGGACCCACCCTAAATCTTTTATTACACCATGCAATTCATGTTGTCGCCTTTGAGTTTGTCTTGTGAATCGGTCTTACTAAATCGTTTTCTCATGGTTTTCGTTAAAATCTTAAGCTTTTATTAGTTTTGAAACATTTCTAACCAACACGGTGACCTTATTTTGCATCATTTAACGCTAACTATTACGATTAACCTCCATTGTCCAATATTTCTGATTCCGCCTCTATCTGTCACGTTAAATTCTATAAAAATGAATAATAACCTGCAAAATAAGCGCGAAAAACGCGTGTTGTCGATTATTTAACGCCATTTAAAAACGATGGCATAACACTTTTTCAGAAAATCGTAGATGCGTTGCCACGAAATGTGCGCTTGCGTGTTTATACTAACGTCGCCATCGGAAAAACAATCAACTAGCTAAGTGGCTCTCACACGCCATAATTCCGTAGGTAGGTGCACTACTACTGCTGCCAAATACGCTGGGAGTATGTTCTGGTAAAAACCTACGGCGAATGTGATAGCTCAAGACGCTTGCCTACTGCGCCATGTCTATTACAGACATTTAAACATCTTATATATAGCAAGAACGTCATACTGATAATAGACACAACCAAGATCGCATAAACTATTTATCACGTGTTTATGCACTCTTAATATAAAAAAAACTTGTGCAGTTTATGCGCTCTTGATATAAAAAGTAAGTTCAACATTTAATCAATCCGCTATCATAATCACTTTTGCAATAAACTTTTGTAGGTAATCAGACTATTAATAGTTACACCGAACAGTTACAGTTAATCGTTAGTTATAACACATCATTTGCTGAACGTTAAATTATTTAATGATTATTAACTAACAACATCGTCACGACGTGTAACCGTCGTTCCGTGCTCCACGCTACTTCCCGTGCGCGGACGTCGCGCCAATAATTAAATCCTTCGTTGTTACTTTGTTTTGTTTTTACTTGTTTTTTACTACTAATAAAAAACAACAGCAGCAGCATCGCATTACCTGATGTACGTCACAGCCGTGCAGCTTGGCAAGAAGCCAGTTCACATCAAACAGGTATTCAGCGGCGCTGGCGTCGTCAGAAGCGCAGGCGTGCGCTGCGTGAGGTAATTCAGTCAGTCGGCGACTATTGTAGACGCTGTCGGCAAACTTCTCCGGCTGCGCGGCGACGCAGCGGTCGCTCCCGGTGCCCTTCTTCTTGCCCGCCGCCGCCGCCGGCTTCTCCGCGCCGTTCGCCCACCTGCCGCTGAAGTACTCGCGCAGCGGCGCGTTTAGATCGACGTCGTCGGCGGCATGCCTCGCGCGCAGCAGGTCGGCCATGCTGCGATGCCGCAACCGCAGCAGCTGTCGACCGCCGATGACGTTCGTCAGTAGGTAGGGCTCAAGAGCGGCGGCGAGGCGCGCCCACAGCAGCGGCGGGAAGCGACGCACGGCCGGGTCGGCGGCGGCGGCGGCGGCGACAGAGTCCAGGGCGGTGTTATCACACGACAGCAGGTCGAGCAGCTCGGCGTGCGAGACGCCGTCGCGCGCCAATAGCAGGTAGCCGAGCGCATGACGCAGGAGCGACGCACTCGCCGCGTTCCGCCCCGCGTCGTCGATCGCCTTCACGATCTGCTCGTCGAGGGTCCCGCCGACGCAGCGAGCGACGTCGTCGTCGCGGGAGACGCACGCGAGCCGCGACAGCAGCTGCACGTGCAGCGGCGACGTGCAGGCGCGCACGGCCGCCAGGGTTTCGTCGGCGCGCTTGTCGCTGATCGTTCGACCGCACGCCTGCGCGACAGTTCGAAACACGGACTCAGCGACCTGCTGGGTGACGGGCGGCATCTGATAGTAGCAGGCGGCATCGGAAAAACGATTCTGCAAGAGGCGAAACGCAAAAAAACGAGAGAAAATGAGTCGGTGGGGTTAAAATTTAGATTGGAGAAAAACGGTCCATTAGAAGGAAGCATCGGTTAGCAATCGGTGCGGTTTTGGCGTGCGACTGACTGACTACTCGGGTGCTAATTCCTGTTGCGCATTTCGTGGCTGGCCCTAAAAGGCTGGCCATTGTGTGCTGTTGCTCTAATGGTTGTTCTAATGCTTTTTTCGATCGTTTACCTCCGAAGAAATATAGTGCAAGATCAAAGAACATTACAGATGCATCAGCAAGTATATTAGCACTGTGTGATGTAGTGTTGCGCCATATAATATATTTCGTATTTACATTACTGTGCTGGTACTGTTGGTACTACTGCTGGCACGACGTATTACTGGTTCTCATCAATGTATAGGTAAATGGTCATCTCCGTTACAGCGAATTGAGAACGAGAACAACAGCTACAGCTAGCAGCTGCACCGTACTGGATGTCAACATCCGTAGCTGCTGCAACACAACACGACGCAACACGTAGACATTGCTGCTACACCATAGCAGTGAACAGCTAGATAGCCACTTCTAGTCAACCGTGTTAGATGTAAACAAAACAGCAATGACTCCTACGCTATAGTAAAAGTCAACCGCCATTACTCTTACATCATAGTAGAAGTCAACAGCCATTACTCTTACATTGTAGTAGAAGTCAACAGCCATTACTCTTACATCATAGTAGAAGTCAACCGCCATTACTCTTACATCATAGTAGAAGTCAACAGCCATTACTCTTACATCGTAGTAGAAGTCAACCGCAATTACTCTTACATCATAGTAGAAGTCAACCGCCATTACTCTTACATCATAGTAGAAGTCAACCGCCATTATTCTTACATCATAGTAGAAGTCAACCGCTATTACTCTTACATCGTAGTAGAAGTCAACCGCCATTACTCTTACATCGTAGTAGAAGTCAACCGCCATTACTCTTACATTATAGTAGAAGTCGACAGCCATTGCGGTGGCACAATAACGTACATTAAAGCATATATTGGGCGTAACTTAAGGTACAAGGATACTTTCTGCTGTACGAAGAACAGACATCAGTAACCTCTACCAAAATCAACACGACTCTTCTCCGTGCCATAATATAAACAATGATATAAACACTCGCAAACAACATCAACAATCAAATAGTACAACTAACGTAAACAATAACATAAACACACGCAAATAACATCAACAATAAAACGCAGCAGCTAACATAAACAAATAAACAATAACAATATCACTCGCAAACAACATCATCAATAAAACACCACAGCTAAAGTAAACAATAACAATATCACTCGCAAACAAGATCAACACTAAAATACCACAGCTAACGTAAACAATAAGACAATAACATAAGCACACTTGCAGAAAACACCAACAATAAAACACCGCAGCTAACGTGAACAGTAACGTAAACAAAAATGTACACAACATCATCAATAAAACACCACAGCTAAAATAAACAATAAGACAATAACATAAACACACTCGCAAACAACATCAACAATAAAACACCACAGCTAACGTGAACAATATCGTGAACAATGACGTAAGCAATAACGTAAACAACATCAACTATAAACGTATAAAACACCACAGCTAACGTGAACAGTAACGGGATATACTATTATATAACAATATTATATACAATCCCCGTCTCTACGAGAACCCTACCTGAAGCTCGGCCATGCAGCTCGTGTCATCGCCGACGGTGACGATGACCTTGACATTGGTCGGCAGTGTGACGGGAACCCAGTCAACGCCCCGGATGTCGTCGTACGGCCGACACTCGTCGATCCCGTCCACCAGGATGATCAACGTCCGGTCACCCGGAAGTCTCCGCATGATCTCGCCAAACGGTTCCTGTAAGTAGGTGAGGGGGATGCGTCCTGTTAGTGAGCAGTGAAAGGGTCTGAACTCATGATTTGTCAATAATTGTAGATTGATGGACTGGGGTGAAAATAATACGTACTCCTATGATGCATGAATAAATAATGATAAAATATATAATCATAATGATAATATAATATAATATATATATGTATATATATATATATATAATAAAAATAGTAGGATATTCTATGTACATATATAAAAACATACATATATAACATATTATTATTATTATTATTATTATTATTATTATTATTATATTTCAGTTAAATTGGTTTATTTATATATTTAGTCATATATTTAGTTTTTTTATATATTTATACATATAGCCTATTAGCAATTATTATACTATTATGTTTTACTTATATTATTTACTATTACTTTTACTATACTACATGTATACTATATGTAATACATACTATTACAAATAACCATGGCAAAAGCTTAATCCCGGACCCAACCCGTCACTATGCACACTGACTGCGA